AGCAGCCGCAAACGAAAACGACCGCTGCAAAAGTTTTTGCGCACAGTTTGCCTTGTTATGGCAATTGCATGACTTATAGTTTGGCAGCTTTGTTAGGGTGCTTTGGATCCTTACAGTAGCAAATAAAACTAATTAAGTGGTACTTGGAAAGCTCCGTTGTCTAACCTTTTCACAACTTGGCTGCTTACTCACCTGCAAAGCTTTGGCTTGGCTGGAATAGACCAGGTAACAGGATGCTGCTATTAGCAGCAATGTGCAATTACTTAGTCTATACATAACTGGCAGGCTACTGGCTGCTGACAACGCGAGCTCGGCCAACTCAGGCGTAAAGCGTTTCGTTTTTTAGGGGCGCCGCAAAGGACACACGACACGGCACTGGACACTATTTCCTTGAGTTGAGCTTGGGTCTGATACGCAACGCGTTACGGCCGCAGGAGAACTAATGCTACCACCATGAAGCGCAGCAATTTTTATAGCCAATCGCCTCAAGCCTTTTGTAAGAATAATAATGCCATTGAATGACAGCCACTAAATGATTTGTTATGTACCCCTAATGCCGGCTCAAAGGCGATAGCTACTGCCCGCTGGTTGGCCGTAAACAAGCGGAATCCCAAAGCCAAAACGGAAGTGCTAACAATTTGTCCCGCAATTGCACAGCAGCAGCCACACAGTGCCCGAAACCTAAATAATTTAGCAGACAAAAGCCGACTCTCTTACACGTATAGGATGCGGCAAATAGTTGAATGGGATAACATCAGTGTATGTCAGGCTAGAATGCTGCCAGCTATTATACAGACTCAGGCCCGGTATCAGCTTATTATGATATAAAAGGTAAAATTGTTTCCCTAAATCCAACACCGGTCATTTTAGCTGAAAGGCGTTTCTCTGAATGCTTTAACGAAATTAAAATACAGTCCACAATATAGACCCGATCAGGTGGCTGTAGGTATGAATATATGCTAGATATATGCTAGACAAAGACTCAAGAGTTGCAATAATTTTGTAGTTGTAGCTTCATCAAATTTCAATTTAATTTAAATGCCAAATATACCAGAGCCTTAAAGTTAGAGCTGCAAAATATACAACCTATTTTCAGCCTATAATTAATTATAATTTTTGAAATTTGAAAAATAAAAAAAGTTCAGGAATAAAAATTGGAATAAAATAAATCTAACTGGTATATTTATACCTCATTAAACTTGTTTACACTTTTCGTAACACTGTGCACTGCCCAGCAGGTGGCCAAATCGACGGTATCCTTATTTGCTGTTCTATGCAAATGAAAGTGCGTAAAAAACAAACAGCCCCCAACAAGAAGCACAACAACAAATACATCGGCAACAGCAATGACAATGCCAATGCCAATCGATCAATCCTATTTAAATGGTGACAGTTGTCGTCACAACGTGTCTAAGCGGGGGATTGGCGCTTGTTTGCCGTTGCCATTTGGCTGGAAAGGATTGGAGTGCTCGATGTCAGGGGGCTTATTTCTGAGCCGCATTAACTTTAATTTGTTGGGTAAACAGCTGCGCACCTGGCCGACTGGCAGTTTAAGTCCCGGCCAGAACAAACGTTCTTGTTGATCTGAGTGTCAGCTGTCAACTGCCCGTCTCAATGGGATACAAATTTTTTATTTCAACTGGCAAATCAATCACTGAACACAGAAATCTTAACACGTAGACACAACAGCATTCAGGGGCTGAAATCTGGCTTCTTGTGGACCATAGCAGTTAGCAACATACACGATGAGAATCCTCTCAATTAAACATTGTCAATCCATCAGTAAACACTGGGCGTAGTTCGGCCTTGCTCGGTTTATATATGTACGTCGAACCCATTGAAATGGGCAAAATGGGCAACTGTATGTAACAGGATGAAAAGGCATCTCTGAACCATTAAGTGTATATATTCTTAATCGGGATGGCGAACGGAGTCGATCTAGTCATGTACGGTCTATTGGTCTGCCTTGTTACTGAACGTTATCAGTCAAAATAAATAAATGTTGCTATTATACTTATTTGGTAATGTTATAATCCTTTATCACATCAACCCTGCAACAGAACATAAGATTGAAGAATCGAGTTTGAGCCTGAGAGTCAATGTAAAATGTGTGTATTCACTGTTGTTTTTTTGAAATATTGCAAAATAATTTTAGGCTTATGGTCATTCACTTTAAATAAAATATGCAGAATTAAAAGAACTCAAGTGCTTATTAAAACCATCCCATATATATTCTCCTTTACTATACGCAAAATAAGTTGATGATTTCGATATTACTGCCTATTTTCATAATGTCGATAATAATCGAGGTTTATTAAGCATAACTCGAAATTGATAAGAGCAAAATATGGTATGATATTTACAGATTAAAAATATTTCACTTTTTAGATACCTCTTCTCCATCCCACCCGCTCTAAAATTATAAAAAACTTATTGTTAATGGTAAAGCCTTGTGATTTTTTCAGCCTTGTGATCTCCTGGCGCGGGGAGTTAGATATCTCATGGTTGAAATACTCCTTGTTTTTATTTTACTACGTTTTCAACTATATCGCGCACATGCCAAATTTCAGCAATGGTGTCTCATCTGTTTCACTTCGACAAGTAAAATGTTTTATTTTTTTTTTCTCTGAATTTAGACAAACATGACCCAGCCCAGTTCACCCTCCATTGCGACCTATATTTATTTAGCAAATCAATAAAAAAGGTCTTCTGTGGAATACAATGGACACTTTTATTTATTGATGCAACGTTGTAAATTTAATAACAATTTAATGAGACATCTAAGATGCTGTATGAAGGCTGGTAAATTACTGGCAGTAAATAATTAACTTGAGCTGATGTTCTGTTCACAAAGTTTGACCCTATTTTCCTATCCTTGATGCATTTCAAACATCACCGTTCGGTGAACGCTGACTGCAATAACAATTGAAAATCTCTCTTGCAGGGGCATTTGAAATTAATGTCGCTCTCTTTTCCCTTCACTAAATAGACAATGTTTACAATTAGTATGTGTACGATGAGTTGCTCTCGAGGACTTTATCAATTGTGCGTTGCTTACCAGCAGCCGTTAAGCCTCTTACATGCGGTGATCGGGGGCGGGCTGGTTGCCCTTCATGCTTACATAAAATGCACGCTTCCTTTGTGAGTCGGTTGGCTCATTGGCTGCCGGGTACGGATTTAATTGAATATGTAGTGTCCTGTGCGCGCCACTTTGAAGTTTGCACTTTGCATCCGGCTACGGCTCGGCGCCTGGACCGGGGGCCCCGCTCCGGCCCTAGCTGACCCATACGCACTCTTGGTTGACCCACTCGACCTAAAGTACCCAATAAGCTAGAGCCTGTTGGTTTTTGCGTTTAAGCGTAACTTTGCAGCCGGAAGGGAAGCGGCATTATACAATTTCCGGCAGCACAACGCACTGACAACACGAGGCACTTGAAGGCATTAATTATACCACAATGGCCAGAAAGATTAGGCAAAATGGCAACTTATCCAGGATATTAAAAGAAGCTGTATGTCAAACGGCCACTAAGCAATAGTGCATAAAATTTATAAGTTGCAGCCGCACTTAGACTGCTTTAAAACCGCTTTATAAATGGCTTGTCCTTTAGCTGGTGTGCGAGTGGCCCTTCGTTGAATGATGTGCTGTGTTATCCTCGCGAAATCCGAACATTAAAATATTTAGTTGCCAATCCTGACAGTGCATGGCTGAGAGTCTGAGTCGGAGGCTAAGTTAAGCAAACAAGTCAACGTCAACTGGCAGACGAAGGACGACGCAGCTAACAAGGATAATAGCACTGTGAGCAAGCAAGGACTCAATTTTTATCGGTTTCCACATTTGCGGTGTGTGTGTGTACCACCACTCTAATAAATCCTTAAAAAATATTGAAATCAAAATACTGAAGGGCAGCAAAAACTTATTTTCCTTTTAACAAACTGACACAAACTTATAGCTAACAATTTATGTGGCTGCCAAGGGCATTTGAACTTTAATATTTCAATAAACCGACTATAGAAACTAAAAAGAGAAAGCGCAAAATAAAGTTGCCAATGGCACTTTCTTAAAAGCCACATTAATATATAGATGTCCTTTCCGGTAGATAAGTTATTCAACTAAGCGAGTTTTTAAAACAACTATACAGCGGAAAATGAAGTTTAGCAAGGAATGCTTCTGGCTAATATAATATCTAATTTTCTTAGACAGTTAGCTTGCATCCATAATCAAACATTTTAAGGGCTTACAAATAATAAAGAACACTTTTTGCCAACCGATTGTTGTTACAGACAGACTAATTCAATATTAAGAAATGCACATATTCACAAATGAACACATTAAATATATACACGGATATATAAGTACAAGCATTTAAAAACATGTAATTTGAATGAAAATGAATGGAATGGAAAATTTGAAATCCATCGATATTATGGAACTCACAGCAAGTTCAAAACTTGCCCTCTTTGTTACCACCAAGAGGCAACTCATCAAAAAATATTGAAGCATGCATTAACATGCATTAAACAGAAGTGCATCCTTTAAAAGATAGGATTTAGCAAAGCTGCACACGTAAATATATGTATTTCCCATGGGAGTTCGTCGTAGAAAATTTAAGTTAGAAGGCAGTCCCTTAGCGTAGCATCTCAGCAGCACTGATGACTGTCGTCAAGGATATGCAGATGTGTTCCTCTGTTTTTAAATAAAATGCATGCCAACTGCTCACATAGCGTATGCGCAATATATTTCTGTAGCTTTGCTGGGCAGGAGGCAAGTGAGAGCAGGGCAGAGCAAGTGGCAGCGCTGGTAACGAAGCGGCAACAGGCAGCTTCAGAGCTCGAAGAAATTGCTGTCGCATCGATATGCAGAGCACTGTATGGGTAATCAAATAACCAGGAAACGTTATGCCTTTTAAATGTGGTCCAATTTTACATTTATTTAGACTATATTTCTAGACATTTTCTGTGGCTTGGCCTATTTCATAAACTATTTCATTATTCATTTACAGACGGTTGGTCGTCGAATGTTGAGCGTTTGAGCGCTTGAAGCAAAGCGCAGCCAACTTTTTTAAACAAGCAACTCAAACAGACGCCAGCGAGAAGCGAGGAACGTGCAACAAGCAGCCAGCAGGCGATGGCATCGCGTTCTGGCAGAGCGCTAGGCAAACACTCGACGAAGACGTTGCTGTTGACGCTGCCGTTGAGCATTGCCAGTTGATGAGGCTGTGGATAAAGATGAACTCTGACCCGACGCTTGTTTGCATTGCAAATTGCAATTATGTGAGCGAACGAAAAGTGATTATCGTCCGAGCAAGCAAACCAACTTCAAGCGACGTTTTAATCAGCGCAACAGTAAATCGAAATAATGTCAACGCTTAAAGTTCATCACAGTCCAAGCTTTGCCATCAGAGCAGCGGCGTTGTCCACTTCAACAGCAACGACAACAGCCACGGCAACAACAACGAGAAGGCCTACCAAATCGATGGCAATACTTGTAGCTGGTGGTGCAGCCTTAAACGCAACGGCAACAACAACAATAACAGCAATTACTAATAGCAGCAGCAGCAGCAGTGGCAGCGGCAGCAACCTGCTGCTTACTTCAGCAACAAAAGCGCTGAGAGCAACATCAGCAGCATCCACAACAACAACAATAAAAACAACAACAACTGCATTGACAACATCAACAACAACTTTGCGAACACCATCGCAATTTGTGGACGCCTCGTTGACTTCGCTGTCATTAACGGCATCATCAACATCATCGTCCGCCATCGCCGCCTCTTCCTCGCTGCCATCATCTCCAGCAACTGCCCTGGAGCTGTTCTCGACCGTCGCCAGCAACATAACGGGTAACGCGAATGCCAATATCAGCAGTGTGGTTGAAGGCAGCGAACAATTCGAAGACAGTTGGCTGGACACGTCGCTGCTGCTGCTCAAGGGCTTCATCTTTTCGTCAATTATCCTGGCCGCAGTGCTGGGCAATGCATTGGTCATCATTTCGGTGCAACGCAATCGTAAACTGCGGTAAGTGAAGTGCACTTTGCATGAGTAGAGTAGAGTAGAGTTGGCTTAACTCATACGTGCTCAAGTTAAAAAAAGCTGTTGAATAGCATTTTTAGCAATTTACTTTAATGAGAATCGCATAGAAAGGCAATATTAAATAGTGCTAGATTGCGAATTAAAGAGTCAATTTCACTTTTCGAATGTGAAAATGTGTCTGAGGGTAAGTGAAAGGAAACGACAAATTGAGAGTGAGAATAAGGAAGCGTGTAACTTAGCTTATGGAAAAATCGCAAAGAAAGAAGGAACGAATCGGCAAATATTGGATGAGTCAAAAAGATATTTCAGAGAAATACTTCAATATTAGCATTTCACGTCGCGTGCATTTTGGTAAGGCCGATCAAATATTACCCACTCATCTATGCTAGCCTGCCCCAAGCCTCGCGCGCAATTTTTTCACTTGACATTCGCAGTTTTATATATCACAGCAAAAAATACCCGCTGTAACTTAAAAAACATACAAAGCCGCACAATTAATAACAAATCATTACAATTTAAATTGTTAACAAGTAAACTGTCATTTCCACTGCAATGATGCCCCGGTTCTGACTATCGAGTGATCCTAAAAGATGCTAATCCCTAAAGTGCTTGTTGCGGTCTAATCACCAAACTAAGTAAACACTTGATTAGATTTTTCTAATTTAATTTAAAGTTAAATTTTCGGTCTTCCGCCTTCTTAAACTCTACACTTTTCGTGGCCTGCCTGTAGTTGTCAAAATACAGGAAGAGAGATCTGCCATACTAGGTTTTATATTGGCATTAAAAAGTCAGTCAAATTTGTTTAAGTTTAAGTTTTAGTTTTTTTAGAAATGTCTTCCGTGTGTTTTTGTGTTGCCAACATTTTTGATAACGTGCCTTGGTGAAATTAGTCTCTCCCCATATCCGTTACCAATGTATAGTGCAGTCACCAGTAACAGTATAAAAGAGAAAGAAGAGCTATCTTCGAAACGCCGAAGATTAAATACCCTTGCAGACCGAGCCTTTCAAAATGCTCATAACGTTTTCCTCGTATTTCAGAAGCACAAGGAAAATGGTTAATGCCGAGTATGGTTAAGGAAAAACAAAATGTTGTTCATACAAGAACCTTATTTTCGACCGATCGTTTCTATGACAGCTATATGATAAAGTGGTCTGATGCTGATACGATTTTGCATGTATATAAGGAGCACAATGAAACTAATAAATGCCAAGCTATTAATATTTTTGGATATTATTAAAAATATTTTAATACAACAACCTAATTTTTGAACGATCGCTCCTATGGCAGCTAAAAGATATAGTGGTCGGATGTTGATAGGATTTTACATTTATATAAATTTACATTTATATAGATATCGAAACAAAATTGTAATATCCTCTGCAAGGGTTTAAAATGGAACAGTGCTCTAGTCGGGAGGGTGGAGAAGATACCCCATAATCTAGCTTCCTTATAAACATACACACAAACACAAACACACACACAGTTCAAGACTCTAGCTCCACGGCCCAAGCCCAAAAGTATACCACTAAACATTTTTTTCGATGATAAACTTGATCTTGTCGTGCACTCGAAGGACCTACGTTCTAAATTCAAAGTATCTGGATCTTATCGAGCCGTTCAAACATACGGAAATACAAAAATTAACTCAGCTGTTGATGGAGTGGAAGAAACGTCCTTCTGCCAGTTACATACATTTACACATACCCTTTTAACTCTTATTACCCGTTTTCAATGGGTTCAGGGTTAAACGGCAAACTGCAAAAGAGGAGCCTTTTATAAATTATATACATACCCGTAAATGCAATTTAAAAGAGCGAAAAGAGGAATAATAAACCATACCGAACTTAAATATGACACACGATGATGGCAAGGAAAAGGCAAGAGCGAGAGAGAGAGAGAGAGAGAGAAAGAGAGCAAGAGAAAAGCACAACATTTTAGCATACTATCAAGGGCGACAAAAATGTATTAATGGATGTGCGTGCGCAGGCCAAAGTGTCATGAATTTTGGTTAATGGCTGAACTTTATTAATACGTGCCATTTTAACTACCAAACAGTCTCCAAACTGTATTAATTTAAAAGAGCAAATGAAAGTTAATTCAAACTTATTCTTGATACATTGAAAAAAATTAGGCAGCTCCGCTGTGACGTTTTGTAAAAAAACAAATATGCTGCCGTTGTACAAGCAGAATAGAAAGTAGTTTGGTATCAATAGATACTTTGAATTATATCTATATTTACTAATTATAACCTTTTAATTCTTCTTAAAAGGTTAATTGGGTAATATAAATTTTGTGTCATAAATCGATTTTGTATGTCAAAATGTTCTCAATCTAAGCGCTTTTCTTCTAATTATGTCCAATTGCTGTTCTTCGCAGTTAAAAAGAATGTGAATGTAACATATTACAATAAAGACTAGTGATATTCGGAGCTGTAAATGAAATCACAAAATTAACAAAATAACATTAAAGGCTGACAAAAAAATTAATTTTTTTTGCTTGTGCGATTAAACGTTATGATCAGTACAATAATTTAATAACATATGACTACAAATTGCTTTTTAATACTTGCTACGATGTCTTGCGTCAGCTTTTAGATTTGATAGTATTATTTGGTACTGATAGATAACACTGAAATTGCTGAGGCGACAGCTGCCTAGTCAGCCGAATGGCTTATGACACTCAAGGAAATAGTGAAATTGCAGCATAAAGGTGACCTAGCTGCTGGCTCTGCAGCAGAGAAATGGAATGTAATGCAAAGCAATGAGGCCAAATGCCAGTGAGAGGTGCTGTTGTGTTGCAAGCAAATGCAATGTCATCCGCTTGACATGGGTTCCTCTGTGTGGGCCGCTGTTGGCGGGTTGTGGCTTGTCCGCTGGCAGTTGGTGGTTGCTGACTGGTGGTTTATCTTTCCACAATGCTCATTTAATGCAGCGATTCTTTTTTCTTATTCGCAGCGTTATAACAAATTACTTTGTTGTATCTTTGGCGATGGCCGACATGTTGGTCGCCCTCTGCGCAATGACATTCAACGCATCCGTGGAACTGTCTGGCGGCAAGTGGATGTTCGGGCCGTTCATGTGCAACGTGTACAACAGTCTGGACGTATATTTTTCCACGGCGAGCATACTGCATCTCTGCTGCATATCAGTGGATAGGTGAGTACATACCCCATACCATCTCTAGCCCTGCTGCCCAGCGGCAGCGAAAAACTCGTATCTAAAACGCCAATGCATGTAACTGAAGGCGCTTTAAATAGAACCTCCATTAATCTTGCCTCCTGTAGCCGCAATCTCGCTCTCAATACAAAGCACTGCGCGTTGCGAATGAGAAACGATTAATTACTGTGAAAGGCGCGCACATCAAAAGCAAATATTAAGCCGGGGCGTATGATGAATGCCGCCCAAATGATTTGCACATGGCCAATGGGCCGCTTGGCTTGTGGGCACCCACGTACGCCTCCTGGCCCCGCCCTACAGCCTGCAACTGTTAATTGGAGCCGTGGCCTAAGCGGAAGCCCCAACAGCTGGGACGCAAAACTGGGCAAAAAACAACAATGGCGAATGCCCAGTGGCCACTGGAGCCTTTGTTTGTCTGTTTTAATTAATTTATATTTCACACACCTTTCAAAGGCTCCGGCAAAACACGCAAACACACGAAATACAAAACAGAAGAGCAACAAGAAAAACAAAGAGAACGTGAAAGGAATTGAACCAAATTAATTAATGTTTCTCATTGAAATTCCCGTGAAACTTCAATAAACAAACGATTCATAAATTATGAATGGGCATCGTGTATAAGTAACCAAAATGATTTCTCATTTGATCAGCTTAAGTTTAAAAGCTGCTACTTGAAGTTTTAGCCTGCAATTTTAATAATACAGCAGATGCTCTTCGAATAATTCAAATTACTGAATGGCCCACATCATCTCTATATATATAACTGTTTGTCCTGACTGACTGACTGACTCACTGACTGATTGGTGATCAATGCATTCCCAAACCGTAAGAACTAGGAAGCTAAAATGTTCACTGTAGTTACCTTGTGTGATGAAGGTGCACGTTACGACGGGGTTTCGGGAAACTCTACCCTCATGTGTGGAAAAATCGCGAAAAAACGTTTGTGTTAAACTTTTTTGTTTGTCCGATCGTCCTCAAACTCATTTTCGAAGATCTTTGTTTAAATTCGTTTAAGGGGTGTTTGACACTTTTCGAAAAATGCATTCCTCCTTGGTGAAAATGGGGGATGGATTTTCGCAGAATCCAAGCTCCCTCGGCAGAAATGCGATTCAAAGAATTTTAGGCGAAGTCTTAAGTTTTGTCAAATTTGCTTCAAACTTTTTTTCAAAGCTTTACATAAGAACTTAATGAATACGAGTTTCAGCTTTTTGAGAAATTCACAGTGGTTAATTAGTCAAAACTGTTGTATAAAAGTTTTTTGCTTAACATCCAGTCGGCTTCAAAAACATTTTCAAAGACCTTTGTCAAAATTCATCTGATGGGTATTTTCTCACTTGGTGGAAATAGAGGTCAAGGATTTGGTGAGTCATTTCCAAAGATCTATATGAAGAATCATTTGAGACGTGTTTCACATTTTTCGCAAAATCAAAGCTTCCTCGGTGGGGGCAGCTTTAAGTTTTGTCCGATCGAGACTGTGGTAAATTGGCGGTAAGCGATTCCATTAAAGTTTATTGTTTACCAGCCGTTCGTCTTTAAAATCAATTTCAAATGCGCTCTTCTTGTATGATAAATTGGTGTTGAATATGTCTAATTTTTTAGCACAAAACTTGCCACATGCAAGGCGGATAATACCCGATAGAGTTTTTATAAAATGTAAATAATATAATTTATGTAAGCCAATTAATTTAATTAACTTTTCAACAGTAGGGATTACTGATGACTTTGTCTTTTCTAACTGTTAACCTGTAACAGTATCCAAACAGAAAATTCATAAATTCCTTTGGCCCTGTTAGTATCATGTGTGGTGAAAAATGGGCTTGAATAGCTTAGTAAGTAGTTTGCAGCTACGAAAGCCAGATATGAGCCTTAGCCGTGGTAATTTATAGATTTCAATAATCGAAATACCTTAACTTTTCAAATTAAGAGTATAGAAGTAACCTAACCGGGATTAAAATACATATTTGTGTTTTTCTAAACTAATCGGGTATAAGCTTCCGATCATGGTAATCACAAGGTCAAGCCGGTTTGGCTTACTTTCCTTATGAGTTAAATTTAACGATGTAGAGGGCCCGGCGCACATGATTCAAATTACCTGACTATGCAATATGTTTAACTCTCCAACCTTTTGAGAGGCTTAAGTCAATCAGATTGTTTTATTCGTAGCCAGATCCAAGTCATATCAATCCATTCATTAATTAATTTTCGTAAATTAATCGTTTTTTTGGGCTGCCACAACAGATACTATGCAATAGTGCGACCACTGGAGTATCCATTGAATATGACACATCGCACTGTATGCTTTATGCTCGCCAACGTGTGGATATTACCCGCCCTTATCTCGTTTACACCTATTTTCCTGGGCTGGTACACAACGGCCGAGCATTTGCGCGAGATTTCCCTGCATCCGGATCAATGTTCATTTGTGGTTAACAAGGCCTACGCACTCATCTCCAGTTCAGTGAGCTTCTGGATACCAGGCGTTGTCATGCTGGTTATGTACTGGCGCATCTTTAAGTGAGTGACATTCAGTACCTGAATGCCTGCACCTGAAATTGCTTATTAATTTGCAACATCTTGCGGTTTCTTGCTTCCAGAGAGGCTGTGCGTCAGCGCAAGGCATTAAGCCGCACCAGCTCCAACATACTGCTGAACAGCGTTCACATGGGCCACACCCAGCAGCCCACCAATCTCAGCTACTTACATCCCAGTGACTGCGATCTCAATGCAAAATCCGCACGAGAGGAGACGAATAGTGCTCTCAGCAATTTGGAGGTATGTATAAATGTAGGGTGCCTCAATTAAAAATATCCATTTCAAATAAAGCTCAAATAACTAATAAAATTTTAAGATTTAAAAATTTTTTTGTGATTTCAGCAATAACTTAATTATAATTGATATTGAAACTGATTCGGGTTCTTGCGAAATTTATTATTATTTTGAACGGTTTTAATATATATTCTTGAACTACGTACGTGTTCTTAATTTAATAGATGTTGAGACCGATTCGGGTTGTTGTGCGAAATATTTTATTATTTTGAACTGTTTTTAATATATATATTTTAGATATGCATATGTCTTTCCACAATATAAATTAAATAGTTGTTGAAATAGTTTCCAGGTTTTTGCGAAATATTTTATTATTTTTAATTGCTTTTAATTATAATAATTTATAATTTATAATGTTTAAAAAATTTGTGCAAAGAAAAGATTTTAATTAGGTTGGAATAAGCAGGAAAATATCAGAAATTTGGTCTTATAGCATATATCACTCAACATCTCTCTACAAACTTGTTATTTTCATTTTGGTGACCTTTAATTTTTCACACTTGCAGTGCGTATTATAATTTTGGCATGAAACGTATAATATAGAATAGTTTATAAAGTATTTGTATATTCTTGATCAGAACAACAGCCGAATCGATAAAATAATAGCCGAATAATATATATCTCAGATGTAACGTTTAAGCATGAAATATTGCAGGTAGTGCATTTTCGGATCCCGTCAGACCGGCCAACAATAAAAGTTTTTGTACGAAAAGCTTTGTTGTTTTCAATAGGGGACAAATTGCATTAACTTCGGACTACTATATCATATATTTCTATAGGAAGAATAGGTCGAAAAATTAGCTTTTTATGAAACATTTTTCTCTTTTAATGATATTGTTATCAAAGGCTCAAAAAGATTTCCAATTCTTCTCACATTTAGGCAAAACCAATAAGCCATATGTCTAAAAGGGTATCTAATCTGCGGCGTGACGAAGTTGTCCGTTCTTTCTTGTTAATTTTGCCTTTTCAATTCTGCGTCCTATATGTGAAAAATAATTATTTAGAATTTAGTTACTACAGGTATATCAATTTATATTTACTGCTGAGTTATCAAATTTCAGGAGTATTTTCACTTTTTAAACACAGTGTTTAAGTTCTGTTTAAGTCCTTTCTTGACTATTATGGTAGCTATCATATCATATGATAAAATATAAGTATAAACTAAGACATTTTATGAGTTTGCTTGAATGTGATTTAATCGGCTTTACAGGACATGCTGCAGACGGCCACCGATGAGGACGACGATAAGGACGAGTGCGATGAACTGCGCGTGCCATCGCCGCCACCGCGTCGCCTTAGCCGCAGCAGCATCGATCTGCGTGACCTTGAGCAGGAGCGTTATGAAAAGGTTACGCACACGGACAGCGCCCCGTCGATGATGGCGCTGCAGCAGCAGCAGCTAGCTCCCAACCAGCTGCAGGCACCGGTGCCTGTGTTCAATCCGCAGATTTGGGGCGAAACCCTAGCAAAAAAGACAGCTCAGTCAGCAACAGCAACAATTCAGCAGCAACAGAGCCTGACAAGTGGCAGCGGCAACAGCGAGCCAGAGCCGGAGTCTACGGCCTATCGCGTGTTTGGCCTGTACAGCGATGATAGCGAGACGAATGACCATTATGACACACCTTTGCCACTGGCCGAGGACAACAAAGAGTTGAAGCGACTCATCGAGGATAATTATTTGTACTTCAAGAAGCAAACGAGCGCTGCGGGCGGCAAATATGCCGCACTGAGCGAGTCAGATTTTATTCGACTGAAGTCAGAAGCTGCGGCCAGCGGGCATAAAGCAACTGCCGCCAGCGACTCGGAATTTATGCGCACCATCAGCGAATCGAAGGCGCCCGATCAGCTGCCCGGCAAGGAGAAGGGTTTCAATTTCATGTCGCTGCTGGCGAAAACGAAGCGCTCTAGCGCCGAGTGCTTTGCTCTCGAACGGAAACGACAGCAGGCCAACTCCGAGGGTTCCAGTTTCTTTCGACGCTCTCGTAATCGCAAGCTATCACATAGCTATAATGGAGGCGCCGGCAGTGGCAGCGGCGGCGCCAAGGAACGCAAACTTGAGCAGCGGGCGCGACAGCACAGCGACACCGACTCGACGCCCAACAAGCCGGACATACTGCTGGACATAAACGTGCTCAGCGAGCAGAACTCGGCGAGTGCAGCGGATGGCAATGGGCTACAGCTGATCGACTTTGGCAGCGATGCGGTTGTCGGCGTGAGCGTCACTGGTGATGAGCTGACCCAGCTGGCCGATTGCTTTGGCGAGTCACCTAAGCAGCCGGCAACACCGCCGCCATCGCTGTCCCCGCCGGAGCTGCCCGAGCAAAGTGGCATGCTAATTACGAATAGCTCGGAGCTGGCCGAGATCTTTCGCTCGCTGAGCTTTCCGATGGGCGAGCAGTCCAAGTCCAGGCGTCAGGCGGCGCCGCAGCGCATGAGCACGCTGAGCGATCAGGTGTGCCCCAACTATATGATTTCCCCACCGAATACGCCAGCAGCTGTGAGCGCAGCCGTTGCGGCTGGTAACTCATCGCAATCGGCGTCCATCAACGTGTACTTCTTGTCGCCGCCGCCGCACGCGGCTGGCTACACGCCAAGTGACACATCCACCGTATCACTGGACGTGGTCACCACACTGCCTGTGCCGCAGCCAGGGACACCTGCACAGCACCAGCAGCAGCCACCCAACATATCACCCAAGCCCGAAATCATACTCGACTCCACACTCTCGCCAGTAGACGGCAGCGAAGGCCACGGACTGGCCGAGCACAAGGATATCACCTCACCCCTGTTGAAGCGTAAAGATAGCGCCAACGACACGGATGTGAGCGCTTCCGGCGGCCGACAGCGCTTTCTCACTGGCTACGAGGGTATTCAGACTATGCGGAAACGACAAGCGTCGGTGGTCACGTATGATGTGAACGTTATCAACTTCTCCCAGGAGCAAAGCGACAGTCGCAGCTACATTCCTATGGGTCGCGTCTCCACCAGCTCGGCAAGTAAGTGCAGAGAAACAGTCATGGGCGAAATTTCAAAATGGTCAGCAATCAGCAAAGGTCATGGTCAGGGTTACGTTTATGCTTGAGTGCCTATTTAATTGGGACAGCATTAAAGTATGACTCGTTACCTTGAATAGAATCAATATCTGAATTTCAATTTTATGCAATTTATTTATGCCTAATATTGTGGCTTTCAGAGCCTTGAATATCTCAAATGTGTCCAAGAAGCTTTACGTTTTTTGTGCATTCTTTGTACCTGTTAAGCGCAATGTTTTATTTTTGTATTTCTTTATTTTTAAATTTGCCTAACTATATATAAAACAGACTCTAAATGAATTATTTCTGCATTTTAGCTTCAGGATTTATAGAAAAGGCTTTTCATGCGTTCATAAATTCACAAATCAAACTTTAATACAAATATGTGAATTCCATGAAATTTTAATGGGATCTCAATTGTAAAATTAATTATTTTTTACTCATTAATATTTATTTTATTCAATCGATTTCACTTTCAACTATAAACAATTGCAACGTAGCCCGAAAACTAACACCATTTTCCGAATGGTGAGTTATTCATGCGGATTAAGGGCGAACTCATAAAAAAAATTTTTGCGAAATTTGAACTTTTAAATGCATTAAATGAATAAATCGACCATTATATGAATCAATCGAAGCGAAGCCAACTTGACTCTGTACTAAGTAAGATAATTAATTATTCAAATTCTTAAATTTCATTACATTAAATTAGTTTGTTTACAATAAATCAGATAATTGTCGGCAGTGTTGCTAAATTTATAGTATTTTTAATTAATCATGAATATTCTGAAAGCGGCTATAGACTAAGCCACAAAGCTGACTTTTCTGAAACTTTGCCCACTTCTTACATATAAATACTTAGTTTTTGTGTTAGCAAGTCGCTTTTAGATCATTGCTGTGCAGCAAAATTTAAGGTTTAGATATTGCTCTAGGCACTTAACATATTGCTAGTCGGACGCATAAAGCACACGCCTTGTTGACCAGCTACTAGAACTACGACAATCGAGAAAATGTGTGGAATGATTTGTTTAAAATAATAATTATTGAAAGAGTTGAGTGTACTTCAACCTATTAGTATTATATAGAACTTAGTTTTCCAGTGATGTTGTCAGCTATTCTTCTTCAGTATGTATTATATCTTTAAAATTTCACTATATTTCGCCCTCTAACTATTGCATGGCGCGCATGCGTTTTGTGATGTGATCTAAACAACCGTAACATAATTGTGACGAGCCTTTGATTTCATACAAATGTATATGTCTTTTACCATCCTAATCTATCTATCTGTCTTCCGGTCTATCTCTTTTTCTCTCTCTTTATCTTTCTGTATGTACATATGTGTGTATATGTTAATGAAATCATCAAATTGTGTTCAATCCAATATCAAAAACTCTTCCAACTCAACTCCAATTGTGAACGTCCTCAAACAAAATAAAACGAAAACTTCAAACAGAGCACGAATTTTCCAATAAATCCTCACTGATTCGACGCGGTGGCATCTGCATTTTTGTGGATGAAGACGAGGCCGATTTTATTGAGCAAAAGCCGCACGGCGTTACCTTTGCCCCGGCCGCCAACCCGACACAAAAGTGTCCGCTCTGTGGCGCCGACATCAGCGCCACCACAACTGTCAATACCACCAACACCACCACCACCACTACCACCACCGACACCAACACCTCAGTCAGAGCAAGTAGTAATCGTAGTAGTAACGCTCAGGCCCCAGCTATGACTCCGGCTCCGGCTGCAACACCGGCTCCGATTTCAGGGCAGGAACAAGCTCCGCGCACGCGCTCACGCTTCTGGCACAAACAATTGGCGGCGCTCGCAGCATGTTGGCAGCAGAGCAAGAACCGGAAGCAGCTCTACAAAACCGGATGTAGTCACTGTGGTGCAACCGGTGAGTTGTTTTGTCATCTCCGCAACACATACTGCTCATTCGACTTCCCATGAACCACTTTCCCACTCCAATATCTCTCTCTCTCTCACTCTCTCTCTTTTTCTCTATCTCGCTCTCTGTATTTCTTTATCTCTGTCTTTTTCTCGCATTGCTGTTGATTCTTATCTATCCTTGCATATCCTTTGCCCCCGTAACTCTGTGTCATTCCTGCGCTTTCACCCACAGTCAAGAGTCGCACCTGCATCAGCCAAAAAAACTCAAGCATACCTGTAAATACACATTATTTATTTCTATCCTAAAATTATATTTAATAGGTAAGTTTCACATTCATATAGTATTGATGTTTCGGAAAAAGCAATGTATACCAAAAATGTTCAGATATATTATATTAGAAAAAAGGTATTTAGAAAATAATCCAGAAAGGCATATAGAAATTTTATTGAAAATTAACTATGAGATGGTTTGGCAAACATTAAAATAGATATGATGATATTAAAAATTGAGAATTGGAAAATTATCAAAACTGGAAACGGTAGTTTTCCAAGTTAGCAACAGAATAAGTGATACTATATCCAATGGAAAATAAAAATGTAAAATGAAAGGACATTCTTACACATGCTGCAACAAGTTACTAAAATCTATGCAAATCTGAATATATAGATTCAAATATTGCTTAATAAGTATTTATATGCGGTTGTAAACCTTTTCAGATCTTTCGAAGCCCTGTTGCATAGACATAATAATCAAACCAGGAAAATATCTCAACGTTATTTTTATACCCTGAACCCATTTAAAAGAGGTAAAAAAGCTATAAATAAAGTATTTGTGTAAATGTATGTAATAGGCAGAAGGAAGCATCTCCGACCAAATAAAGTATATATATTCTTAATCAACTTCAAGCCGAGTCGATCCGTCTGTCCGTCTGCTCGAATGTACGAGCGCAAGGATCTCAGAACCTAAAAGAGCTAGAGACTTGAAATTTGGAACGTAGGACCTCCTAGTGCCCACGAAGTAAGAGTTTTGTTTCTGATAATCTACCTGTTTTTTGAGAAAATCTCTTAGGTTTTTAGGGCTTGAGTCACCAAACTTGTCATGTAGCTTCTTGAATAGTATATATATGTCAAGTATCTTTAATTTTATAGCCATCGCCACCTCCCCACTACCACCATATAGCTATAAGTCAAATAAGTTAACCAATTTAAACTACCCCCCCCCCCCCCCCAATTTAAATCACAATTTTAATGCCTTTTTATTCTACTGTTGAAAATCAAGATTGGTTTAGGAATACAGAAATTAATAAAGAAAACGTGTGCTTATATTGTCAAGAGTTTGCGGCAGTTATCGCAAATTGCAAGAGTTTCTGTATACATGAACACACACACATTTATGCGAATTAGTGCGGGTTCGAGTCCAATTGGGAAGGGATTTTATTTACATATTTTTAATTACTGCTGAAGCAAACGAGCTCGTAGCGCGAGCTGCATTTGGAGTTGGTAGAAGAGGACTCAGGATATCCCCTAGCCGGGAGCTCCCGACTAGAGCCTCCTTCATGTTTAAATTTAGTTTCCTTCATGCTTGAGGTATTTGTATACCCTTGTTGAAGGCAATATAATCAATATCAACAGCTGAGTCGATACGGCCATACCTTTAGTAAGTTCTTTTGCGAACTATTCTCTGAGTTTGTATGCTGTTGTCGTAAAACTGTGAATAGGGTTTCTCTAAGTCTTTCTGTTTCATGCAATAAATATGTTGAAATCGACCGAAATCGCCTACCATATCCTATTTTTTATTTCACCAAACTCAGCAATTGCTAGTTTTACTATTTTTCCGGCAATGTTTTAAAACCGTATCAAAACGGACTTTATATTATGTGTCGGAAGAAAACAATTTTATGTGAAGAATATTTGTTCTTCCTTTCTTGTTTTATATGCAAAGTGACATTTAAAGATACATAACTTAAAAGCACATTGTTGTTGAAATTTATTATTGCAGTAGCCGAAATGGAACTCCGAGAGTTGAGCGAGCAAATAAAACCAATGCAGCAAGTAGTTTTACAAGCAATAGCTATTTATTGGATCACTTATAAATTATAATGATAATTACCAGCACTAAGTATCAACATTCCAACTCGAACATGTATAAATCCCAAGAAACCCCAACTGGGCATGCCCATTCTCTAAAAAAGACATTGACACTATTTGCTAAATCCCTCGCGTCCCTGGCTGTGGCCATACGGCCGGCACCTTCAGGCTAAACTCATTTTTGTTCACCGGCATTTTTGAAGTATCCTTCGGTGCTCCTTCATGCTGTCCATAATTGCCCCCGCTATGCACGTGCATTTTCTTTGCTTTCGCTACGCCCAACCTACTGTGCTAACTGTGTTTTCTTTTTTGCATTTTGATTCCTTGCTCAGTTTGTCGGGCAACCGCTGCTATTCAGAAAGATGGCGGCGGCGGCGGCGGCGGCGGCGACGACGAGGTCTAGCACAAACTTGTTTGCCACTTCCTGTTGCTTACCGTTTGTCTGTTTGTCAGTCTGTCGTCTGATTTGTTTTTCTTTTTGTGTAAATACTTTTTCAATGATGTTTATGTTTATGTTTTGTACGTGTGCGAAAATGAGTCGGTGTATGTGTGGGTGTATCTGTAGAGGCACTGTATATCTTTATGATAGCAAGTGTCCTGTGTAAATATTTTCAATTGTTTGTTTCGTTATTATTACTTTTCCCACACCCGCACACACCGACACGCACACACACCAGCTCGATTACTCAAGACTGGTTAAATAGCGCCGCCCAAAGTTGGTTGTGGGAGTGAGAAGTGGGTGCTATACACTAAGACGGGTGTTTGTGATCAATGATACAACAACACCAACAACAACAACAGGAACAACTACAACAGCAATATTAATGTCAAAGTTAAACAAGAACCGTCACACATGGCGCTACACGCATAAAATGTGAGGCATTGCTTGTATTCACACACACCCACATACACACACACACACACACACACACACACACACACACACACACACACACACACACACACACACACACACACACACACACACACACACACACACACACACACACACACACACACAGACACACAGCTTTTGACCTCTCATTCAAGAGCATTTCCAAATGCAGCAGCTGGCCTAAAGCTGTGCCAAAGATGAAATTTAGCTTATCAGTTTGTAACTCTCATCGAAATCTCATCATCAAACTCTTTATCTGCCCGACAGGCGGCTCAGTGCGACCCGCGAAAGGTTGGAAGGCCGAGCACAAGGCCGCTCGCACTTTGGGCATCATTATGGGCGTATTTCTGCTCTGCTGGCTGCCCTTTTTCCTTTGGTAAGCAGTGCTCTAGGCGTAAGGCTCAAAGCTCGGTTTATTTATGTATATATATATATATATATATATGGCTATCTGCAGGTATGTCATCACGTCGCTCTGTGGCGCCTCCTGCCCCTGCCCGGATGTGGTCGTGGTGGTACTCTTCTGGATTGGCTATTTCAACTCAACACTTAATCCGCTCATCTACGCCTATTTCAATCGAGACTTTCGGGATGCCTTTCGCAATACACTGGAGTGTGTGCTACCCTGCCTGGAGAAGCGCAATCCCTATAATGCTTACTATGTCTAGAGTCTATAAAGATCTCTAAATGCTACCAAACGATGCCACTGTAAGTGATATTCAATACTCTTAGCTAATACCAAATAAAACGCCACTCTTGCAAACAAAAAAAAAAAGAAATCTTTGTTAAAGCCTTCGAGCTAAGCAATACTCAATTGTGTGTTTATTATGTATACGTATTTATGTAATTGTACTTATGTATTTATAAGCAAGTATTACGCTAAGCTAGGGACTCTTAACTTAATGGATTCTCATATCATGTCAAATGTGTGTCTATTAAGCATATACGTAAAACCTCAAATGGGTATGTCTTTGTCCCTAGTATAAGAGAAAACTCTCAAAATCGAAGCAATTGAACAAGCCACTAGAAAATAAAAAAGAATTAAGAAAATATATAACTACTAGAATATTAAACCTAAAAATAATACTTCGGTAAATATTCGAAGCTTACGTTCTTTTCAAGTGTCCGATCGCTATATTTCAATGTTTCAGTTTATCTGAACTATCTAAAGTCAAATTTAAAATACGACTCCACTGATAACGCTTTAAATATAATGAAATATACTATTCCAATATTATATTATACAAATTGTTACATTTTCAACGGTCAAAATTTAACGGATTATGCCTAATAAATGCAAATTGACCCACAAAAATAGGGTACTACAATTAGTAAAAATTAGTTTAAGCCGATTAATCTCCTGTTTCCATTTTAAAAAATCTTGAAAATGGATCCTAATTTTGTGTTAAGCGGGTAAGTTAGAATAATAAATATTGTTCGTCTTGAAACAAACATTAATGTTAAGGAATGCAATCTAAATTGAATTGTTCGCGTCATAAAGAATATTCCAGCTTAATGACAATCTAACAAAAATAACACAAAACTTTAAAATGCAAAAGTTATCAGACGTAGCAAATTTCTTAATATACTAGGAAAAGTTGATTAAGTTACTTGATTTCCTTTTAAAAGTTAATGCTACTTTTGTGATACCTATTAAAGGGAATTGATTTCATTTTTAGTTCAATTTGTTAACGATTTCTGTACGCATTGCAAGTTTATTTTACAGATAAAGCGAATGAAATGCAATCTCGTCTAATATACATATATATTTTATTTCTATGTATTTACTTGCTGAAAACTAAATAATTACGAGTTAAAGTGTGCAACTTACGTGTTTTAAATATACATCTACTTTGAACGTGTGTTATTGTGCATTTACTTCTGGCGGGCACTGTAGATTTCACATTTATAAATATCTGTCCGCGAGAGTGTATATACATAGGTATATGCTATGTACTTGGTTGCGGTTATTCGTGGCGGACTCTGCTATGGGTCAGTTTTGTCTTGAATCGGTCACCAGATGCTTAACGCGCGCATCGAGCACACATCGACGGAGCCGCACGAGGGGGACGCCACTTGTGTGGTGTATTTCAACAGCCAGCTGTTCTCTGGAGGTGCCGATGGGAAAATACGTGTGGGTATTATGGGGCAACAGTTAAGTTTAGTCATTTATCCGCATACCTGAGATCGGGCTTCCCTTACAGATTTGGTCGGAATCGCTGCAACTGCTGCGCACGGTGAACGCCCATGATGCGTACATTTATTGCATGGCTGTGAATGAAAATGGGAAGCTGTATTCGAGCAGCTGTGATGGCCAGGTTAAGTACATACTGCCGCCATATGAGGATGCTTCCATGCAGGAGTTGTTCCGCTGTGACGACGCCATTCAGGCCATGTATTGTAATGGCGCAGTGCTCTATACGGGCGATGATAAAGGCGTGGTTACAACTTGGAGTAAGGATCGCATGCTCTTTAAGTACAATTTAGTGGAGGAGGTCAAGTCCCTAGCAGGGGAGCAGCAGCTCATCTACACAGTGCGCGACTTGGACGTGGTCGTCTCGATAATTGTGGAAGGCAAGTCCGGCAAATACAGCAACAAAACTGTTATTCCAGGTAAATCACCTTTAACGCTGCTCGGTCCATTGGTCGGCGGCAAGAGGAGCTATCTGGCATTTCCCGATCGCACGGGCATGGGCCTGCAGCTGATAAATAATCTACCACAACACAAGTTCTCCCACATTTGGAAGTTGCCGGTGAGTGGGAAGCATTCTTCTTAGCCATTTCGTGAGTCATTATTGTCATATTGATCGCAGAACTGCCATGAAATGATTGTGAATAGTATATGCGGGACTGATGAGCACTTGTATTCCGGTGGCTACGACAACAAAGTCAAAGGCTGGACAGATTTGGCAGCAAATCAGCCGCGTGCACTTGGCGAAGTGGATGTGGGCAGTTGTGTGAATTACATTTGTTGTGGCGCCGACAATTATGTGTATATTGCAAGCAGTGATGGTTTTATACGTTGCTCTAAATTTGTTTAGTTTACTTTTATTTAAAAAAAAAAGGTTTGATTAAAACAAATGAGCTATATGTATGTGGCGATCTGGCAGCACAGGAACTAATACATTTTAAGTTTTTTCTCTTTGATAAGTTTAGTTACACTAAGGCCGCTCGCACTTTGGGCATCATTATGGGCGTATTTCTGCTCTGCTGGCTGCCCTTTTTCCTTTGGTAAGCAGTGCTCTAGGCGTAAGGCTCAAAGCTCGGTTTATTTATGTATATATATATATATATATATATGGCTATCTGCAGGTATGTCATCACGTCGCTCTGTGGCGCCTCCTGCCCCTGCCCGGATGTGGTCGTGGTGGTACTCTTCTGGATTGGCTATTTCAACTCAACACTTAATCCGCTCATCTACGCCTATTTCAATCGAGACTTTCGGGATGCCTTTCGCAATACACTGGAGTGTGTGCTACCCTGCCTGGAGAAGCGCAATCCCTATAATGCTTACTATGTCTAGAGTCTATAAAGATCTCTAAATGCTACCAAACGATGCCACTGTAAGTGATATTCAATACTCTTAGCTAATACCAAATAAAACGCCACTCTTGCAAACAAAAAAAAAAAGAAATCTTTGTTAAAGCCTTCGAGCTAAGCAATACTCAATTGTGTGTTTATTATGTATACGTATTTATGTAATTGTACTTATGTATTTATAAGCAAGTATTACGCTAAGCTAGGGACTCTTAACTTAATGGATTCTCATATCATGTCAAATGTGTGTCTATTAAGCATATACGTAAAACCTCAAATGGGTATGTCTTTGTCCCTAGTATAAGAGAAAACTCTCAAAATCGAAGCAATTGAACAAGCCACTAGAAAATAAAAAAGAATTAAGAAAATATATAACTACTAGAATATTAAACCTAAAAATAATACTTCGGTAAATATTCGAAGCTTACGTTCTTTTCAAGTGTCCGATCGCTATATTTCAATGTTTCAGTTTATCTGAACTATCTAAAGTCAAATTTAAAATACGACTCCACTGATAACGCTTTAAATATAATGAAATATACTATTCCAATATTATATTATACAAATTGTTACATTTTCAACGGTCAAAATTTAACGGATTATGCCTAATAAATGCAAATTGACCCACAAAAATAGGGTACTACAATTAGTAAAAATTAGTTTAAGCCGATTAATCTCCTGTTTCCATTTTAAAAAATCTTGAAAATGGATCCTAATTTTGTGTTAAGCGGGTAAGTTAGAATAATAAATATTGTTCGTCTTGAAACAAACATTAATGTTAAGGAATGCAATCTAAATTGAATTGTTCGCGTCATAAAGAATATTCCAGCTTAATGACAATCTAACAAAAATAACACAAAACTTTAAAATGCAAAAGTTATCAGACGTAGCAAATTTCTTAATATACTAGGAAAAGTTGATTAAGTTACTTGATTTCCTTTTAAAAGTTAATGCTACTTTTGTGATACCTATTAAAGGGAATTGATTTCATTTTTAGTTCAATTTGTTAACGATTTCTGTACGCATTGCAAGTTTATTTTACAGATAAAGCGAATGAAATGCAATCTCGTCTAATATACATATATATTTTATTTCTATGTATTTACTTGCTGAAAACTAAATAATTACGAGTTAAAGTGTGCAACTTACGTGTTTTAAATATACATCTACTTTGAACGTGTGTTATTGTGCATTTACTTCTGGCGGGCACTGTAGATTTCACATTTATAAATATCTGTCCGCGAGAGTGTATATACATAGGTATATGCTATGTACTTGGTTGCGGTTATTCGTGGCGGACTCTGCTATGGGTCAGTTTTGTCTTGAATCGGTCACCAGATGCTTAACGCGCGCATCGAGCACACATCGACGGAGCCGCACGAGGGGGACGCCACTTGTGTGGTGTATTTCAACAGCCAGCTGTTCTCTGGAGGTGCCGATGGGAAAATACGTGTGGGTATTATGGGGCAACAGTTAAGTTTAGTCATTTATCCGCATACCTGAGATCGGGCTTCCCTTACAGATTTGGTCGGAATCGCTGCAACTGCTGCGCACGGTGAACGCCCATGATGCGTACATTTATTGCATGGCTGTGAATGAAAATGGGAAGCTGTATTCGAGCAGCTGTGATGGCCAGGTTAAGTACATACTGCCGCCATATGAGGATGCTTCCATGCAGGAGTTGTTCCGCTGTGACGACGCCATTCAGGCCATGTATTGTAATGGCGCAGTGCTCTATACGGGCGATGATAAAGGCGTGGTTACAACTTGGAGTAAGGATCGCATGCTCTTTAAGTACAATTTAGTGGAGGAGGTCAAGTCCCTAGCAGGGGAGCAGCAGCTCATCTACACAGTGCGCGACTTGGACGTGGTCGTCTCGATAATTGTGGAAGGCAAGTCCGGCAAATACAGCAACAAAACTGTTATTCCAGGTAAATCACCTTTAACGCTGCTCGGTCCATTGGTCGGCGGCAAGAGGAGCTATCTGGCATTTCCCGATCGCACGGGCATGGGCCTGCAGCTGATAAATAATCTACCACAACACAAGTTCTCCCACATTTGGAAGTTGCCGGTGAGTGGGAAGCATTCTTCTTAGCCATTTCGTGAGTCATTATTGTCATATTGATCGCAGAACTGCCATGAAATGATTGTGAATAGTATATGCGGGACTGATGAGCACTTGTATTCCGGTGGCTACGACAACAAAGTCAAAGGCTGGACAGATTTGGCAGCAAATCAGCCGCGTGCACTTGGCGAAGTGGATGTGGGCAGTTGTGTGAATTACATTTGTTGTGGCGCCGACAATTATGTGTATATTGCAAGCAGTGATGGTTTTATACGTTGCTCTAAATTTGTTTAGTTTACTTTTATTTAAAAAAAAAAGGTTTGATTAAAACAAATGAGCTATATGTATGTGGCGATCTGGCAGCACAGGAACTAATACATTTTAAGTTTTTTCTCTTTGATAAGTTTAGTTACACTAATTTTGAATTTCACCATATTGCAAAAAGCACGTACAACTTTCTTCTAGTTCGAGCTCTCTAACCTTCAGCTTATACGCATCTAAATATTAACTCTTTTTGGTATAATCGAGATATTTTAGTTGTGTTAACGGATGTAGAATTTGACTATTAAGTTCCATCCAAATAACCAAATTGGTGACCCCCGACAATAACCAAAGTGTGCGCAACTCAGGAGAGACGGAGCACCTACTTAAATTGCAATCATCACCAACAGGCATACTTCAAGATCATACTAAAGTTTTCGCCAATTCAATTTAGAATTAAAAGCTAATTGACACACTCATATACATAGCTTTGCTGCGACATACTCACACAAAGATAGACATTTTGCGCAGTTCCACGAAATACATGACGCTTAAAATACAAAATGGAGGACGAGAATAATGCTAGCGCTCACATTGAGAACAGCAATGCAGGAGCTGCAAACAATGTAAATTCTGTTTTCGTCAAGATGCCTTTTCCTCAACTACACACGGTTACAAACATTGAAATGTTTTTTACCAAGCTAGAAAGTTGGTTTCTTTTACAAGGCATAGGCTTACGAAAGGAACACGAGAAGTACGCAGCCGTCATCACATATGCGGATCCCAAATACTTAGATCAAGTTCACGATCTTGTTCAAAATGAGCCTCAAACAAATCCATACACTACACTCAAACAAGCCATCCTGGCAAAGTTCGCTGAGTTAGAGATGACACGCCTCGACAAACTTGCCACTGGCATTCAACTTGGTGATGGACGTCCAAGCCATCTCCTCAGCCAACTACAGCAAACCAACGCTACCAACGACGAATCAGTTGTACGTCGTTATTGGATTAAACGCCTACCTCCTGCAGCTCGCGCTGTCATCGCAGGTTTTCTTGAGACTTCCTCGAATACAACACTATCGCAACTTGCAACAGCCGCTGACGCCGTAATGGATACACTAAGTTATACTTCATGTGATAACGTCGCAGTGCTTTCCCGTAACAACACTGCAACTGAGCATCAAATGGACAACCGCATCAGTACGATAGAAAAACGTCTGGATGCCCAGGACATAATGTTTCAAAACATCAATACAAAACTTGGAAAACAACGAAAATCGACGCACTCGCAGTCGCAATCGATCACAAACCAACCGCAGCAATGCACCGAACGCTCAGGCCGATTCAAACCAAAATTGCTGGTATCATAACAAGTATAGCTGCATACTTGTCATACAGTCATACCTTCTGCAGCCATAAGCCGACGTTTCTTAGCCACCAGCGAAAACCCTTTTTTGCTGCTAACGGCACTACCATTAAAACATATGGCTCAACCCGTCTCACTCTCGATCTTGGGTTACGTCGTCCATACACATGGAATTTTATCATTGCTGACACGAAATTCCCAATCATTGGATCAGATTTCCTACAGCACTATAACCTTCTTGTCAATATCAAAGATGGTAAATTAATCGACGCTCAAACTTTGATAGCACGTCAAGGTGTCTGCAGCCTTCGATCTTTAACAACGTTAAAAACGTTTAACGCATCCTGTGAGTTCGCCCGGCTGCTGGACGAATTCAAGGACATCACACAACTCAATGCCTTATCACCGAAGCACACAACATCTAGTGTAACTCACTGCATTAAGACAAAATGCCCACCAAATTTAAAGCTGCCAAAATGGAATTCGAGTGCTTGCTTAAAATAGGTGTGTACCGACCATCAAAAACAGCATACGCATCGCCGTTGCACATGGTCCGCAAGCCAACAGGCGAATGGCGGCCATGTGGTGATTACCGCGCCCTCAACCAAAAAACTGTACCGGATAGGTATCCACTTCCACACATACAAGACTGTACACATATTTTTCATGGCAAGAAAATAATCTCAAAAATTGATCTTAACCGTGCATATCACCAGATCCCCATCGAACCAGGCGACATCCCAAAGACTGCAATAACCACACCATTTGGATTATTTGAGTTTACACACATGACATTTGGATTGTGCAACGCTGGACAAACCTTCCAAAGGTACATGCATTCCGCACTGAGGGATTTAGACTTTGTTTTCGTCTATATAGATGATATCGCCGTTGCATCAGACAATATGGAGCAACACCAAATCCATCTTCGGCAAGTTTTTGAACGACTTCGACGTTTTCATCTCAAAATCAACACTAGCAAATGTCGTTTCGGTCAAACATCAATCGAGTTTCTTGGGCATTTGATCGATCATAGTGGCATCAAACCATTACCAGACAAAGTGAAAACCATCATCGAATTTCCCTTGCCCACAGTCGCAAAAGAACTGAAACGTTTTTTGGCAATGATTAACTTTTATCGAAGATTCCTGCCAAAAGCAATCACCCATCAAGCACCACTGGTACAATTAATACCGGGTAACAAAAAAAACGACTCAACTCCAATAACTTGGACAGGTGACACGCTGAAACATTTTGAGGAATGCAAGCGTTCTCTGGCTGCAGCAACACTTTTGGTACATCCTGCTCCAGATGCTCAGTTATCGCTCAGCACGGACGCAAGCGATACAGCCGTTGGCGCTGTACTGCATCAAATCGTCAACAATGAACCTCAGCTAATGGGATTTTTTAGCGTTAAACTTACTGACGCACAACGACAGTACAGTACTTATGATCGAGAGCTTCTTGCAATTTACCTTAGTATCAAGCATTTCCGCAACATGCTCGAAGGAAAAATGTTTGATGTCCACACTGACCATAAACCATTGGTATACGCTTTTACGCAAAAATCTGAAAAAGCTTCTCCACGGCAGCTTCGACAGCTAGATTTTATCGGACAATTCACGACATCTATTCTACACATTGCAGGTGTCGATAACATTACTGCTGACACACTCTCTCGCATCGAAACTATTGAAGCCAACATCATCGACTACAATAAGATTGCTGTTTCACAAGCAAGTTGTCCAGAGCTAAAAAAGCTACTTAATGACAACACAACTTCACTTCAAATCAAATCTATCAACTTACCGCAATCAAGTACTCCAATCTTATGCGATTTTTCTACTTCTACAGTGCAACCATTCATACCGCAGCCACATCGAAAAAATATTATCAGCAAGATACATGGCATTGCCCATGGAGGAGTTGGTTCAACAATTAAACTCATCAAACAGCGCTTCGTTTGGCCTTGTATGCATAAAGATATAGCTCACTTCGTCAAACACTGCATCCCTTGCCAAAAATCTAAAGTCACACGCCACGCCTCTGCCTTCACGCAGATTTGAACACATCAATGTAGACCTCATTGGACGACTTCCTCAATCTGGTCAATTTAGATATTGTCTCACGATTATCGATCGCTATACCAGATGGCCAGATGCAGTCGCTATTGAAGATATCCAAGCTGAAACAGTAGCCGCAGCACTCTTCAATACATGGATTTCTCGCTTTGGAGTTCCAGCACGCATTACCACGGACCAAGGCAGACAATTTGAATCCAGGTTATTTAACGAGCTATCGCGCCTCCTCGGCATTGACCATTTACGAACAACCGCCTACCATCCATAGGCAAACGGAATCATCGAACGTTGGCACCGCACGATTAAGGCAGCTATAATGTGTCACAACAGGATCGGCTGGCCATCCAAATTGCCAATGATTCTCCTCGACCTACGCTCAGCATATAAGCCCGACATCCAAACAACAGCAGCACAGCACTTCGTATTCCTGGAGAATTTTTCAATAACTCCAGTCAATTTCAACCACAAACTGATTTCGCCAAGGATCTAACAGAGATGATGCGCGAAATCCGACCAATTCAAACATCCAACCACGACACATCAAAGCCTTTCATCTTCAAGCAATTAGCTGATTCAACTCATGTTTTTCTGCGTAACGACACGGTACGTGGTTCGCTTCAGACGCCCTACGACGGACCATTTGAAGTAAAATCAAAACATACCAAATTTTTCAACATACTTATCAATGGTCACGATACCAAAGTATCAATTGATCGCCTCAAACCTGCTTTCATGGAAACACAGCAACAATCAACGATAACCAACGCAGAAGCAACATCGCCATTAGGTCAACAACAAGACGCATCCAAGGATACTCCCAACACACCTATACCGCTTCAACAATCTACAAGGCCTCGCCGCACAATTAGACTCCTCGTTCGTTTCACAACTTGAAGTCTAGAAGGGGGTACTGTGGCGATCTGGCAGCACAGGAACTGATACATTTTAAATTTTTGCATTACAGCCATTTTTATATATTTTTATTTTCCATGAGAATAAATTGCTTTCATAGAATATCGTTTCCATTTATTTTATTCAATAACGTTCAGCTACGGGGGAAATAGAATGGTGATTAGAATTCCGACAGCTTCCCAGGTTTTTAGAGCAGAGCGAAAACAAAAGAATTATTTTAGAATCAACATGAATTTTATTTTTAAAAACACGTTATTGCCCATTTATTTGAAGGAAGCGCATTTTTTTCATTTTGCAACACTGTGGGTGCTGCCAGACTTATGCGAAAAGATGAACTCAAATGTGAGCATTAACATCCTGTTAAATATACGGCAACCCTAAACATTTGTGTTAGCTAGTAAGAAATTAACTTTGGCACGCAACTTATTTGTGTAAGCCGGCTTGACCCCGACGATGTCACATCCCGTCGCGGCAAAGGGACACCCGCGCAAGTATCCGTTTGTCAACATGCGCATAGCGGATCACTCAGTGCTGGACACAATTGAAGGCCGTCACAGTTGTCGGCACTGCAATCGGTCTCGGAAATTTTTCTGCTACAATTGCCACATACCAGTGGGTGAACTGGGCAGGTTATTGCCACGAGTAGATCTGCCCTTCCAAATAGACATAATCAAGCACAAAAAGGAGATTGATGGCAAAAGCACGGCGGTGCATGCGGCAGTGCTCGCGCCGGATAGTGTGCAAATCCACACATATCCAGATATACCCGACTACAGGCAGGAGGATGGTGTGGTGCTCATCTTCCCAAGTGCTACGAGTCTCACTGTGCCGCAGCTATTTCAACGAAATGTTCATTTGAAAATTGATGACAATTATGGCCTGCCCAAGGGCCATCACATGGGGACAATGTTGCGGCGACGCATGGATGAGGTTGTTGGAGAAGCAGAATCGGAACAAAGCTCCAAATGCTACACATACGGGAACCTGCCAGTACGACGGGCGCTTTTCATTGACAGCACCTGGAATCAGAGTCGCAGCATCTACGCAGACGAGCGCGTCCGCGGCCTACGTACTGTGGTTCTCCAGAATCGCTTGTCACAATTCTGGCGCCATCAGCGAGGCAGTCCACGTTGGTATCTAGCCACCATCGAGGCCATACATCAGTTTCTATTAGAGATGCACGTGAACGCATGGGGTCTTAATGCAGCATACCGAGGCCTGGATAATCTGGAAATTACAGAAGGCTTTCATCAGCTTGCAGCGCCTCTCACGCTGGAGGCGCCTGAGGGTTGCGTGCAACGCGAATCGCCCTATAATGGACAGTATGACAATATACTGTACTTCTTTGCAAATATGTATGATCTCATACACAAGTACTACGACCACAACGATCTAATATCGTACCGTCGTCCAATTTAAACAAAATGAAGTGTTATTATTTATTAAAAAGAGTAATAATTACTTGAAGTTAGTTTTATATAAATATCTTCAACTATTTCTTTTTCTTCTTGCCCTCATCACTGGAATCGCCAGGCTGCTGTTTCTGCTCGGTATTCACCGGTTTCTGCCATTTCAGAGGATTGTTGCGATAGAACGGCCACGGTGGGATGGTAATCTATGCGAGGTATAAAAGGGCTCGAATTACGATTTAGCTGTGATTTGATGATCCACCTACCAGTGAAGATAACAGGAACCCTGCACCCAGCACGTAAACAGTTTGAGAGAACTGCTGCACAAACGCGCCATATATAAGACCAATAACTCCAAATAATGTTATGATTAAACGGGACCAGCGTTCAGCTTTCGCCTGGCCAACAAAGTCCTGAGAAAAATTTAAAAGTTCAGATACAGTTTTCGTAGCAGCTTGGAAACTGTGACGCTTACCATGTGTGTCTGTATATCGAACATGTTGAGATTTCTAAATTTTTGCACTTCTAATGCGAAAACAAATTCGGTTGCGGCACGTCAGCAGTAAAATCGAAGACAACTTTAATGTATATGTTATCGATGTTTTGCAGATGGGGGCAGTGCTACCGACTATCGATTAAAAACAGATGTTTAAATGAAAAAAATTATACGTAGAAAGCGGTATTTATATGTGACCAAAAATAAAAGTTGGAATCGACGGTGCAATTCAATTAACAGTCTTTGGGAAAAATAATCGGTAACAATAATTCCACGCTTAAAAATCTGAAGATTTATTTGTTTATTGAGCACATGGTTACTTTAGCAAATTATCGACCATCATGGCGCGATATAAGCTCCTATTGAATAAAAATCGAAAACTATTTAAATGTAAATTGTTCATACATTTATTTGTACAACTTGTAAATAGCAGCAAAATATGCCGTGGACGTTATTATTTAAGAACTTATAAATAAGTGGAGTGTAATGTGCTCTCTATGATTAATGATAAGGTGAATGTGCTGTGGAATACATTTGTTTCGTTGTCATTTTGTTCGCATTTTAGACTCGAGCGGCACGGGTACGACGTAAGTTAACAACATTAATAACGCATATGGCAATCCAGGCAAAAAGCGCAAACCAGGCGAGGACGAGGGTAAAATACAAGCAAGCAGCAGTATTGATGCGCCCATAACGACGACGCTCATATGAAATGCTCTCCACCAGATAGTCCATAAAATCAAAAACAGCTGCACAGGACAAACGTGCCTTGATTACGGGTACAATATTGCCAACGCCTTGAATTTCCTTGAGCAACGACTCGCGATACTGTTTGCAGGTGACCTCAAAGCCATCGGTAAAAATGGCAGCATAGATCAGCTGGTAAACGGCCATAATGACCGATATAACCGTGGCAGGTAGCCCTAGCAAAGAAAATATTATCGTTACGGCGATCGCTGATAATCTGGGGTTTCTACTTACAATAGTAGGGCGAGAGGCTATCGGGCGTCAGTTCGGACTCGGTGGTCACCACGACCATGTCACCAGAGCTGCAAGATAGAATGAAAGAGAGAACGGAAACAACGCAACGGGTGAGTAATTGCAAATTTTCAATTGAATTGGTGTAGTCTCGCATTTGCTTCAGTCATCTCTCATTTGGGGCTTCCATTAGCATAAGGCTTAATTAGGCCAGTCTTGCGAGTGTCGCAAGTTGCTGCTGCCGCCGATTAACCCACATGACCCCAGTCTGAATTAGAATTGGGCAGCACTTACCGCTGTCTAATGGTTGTGGTGCCAGCCTTCCGTTTGCCCTTGCCAATGCACATGCGATAGCCATGATAAACGCCCAGCACCACGGCAAAGATCAGCGGCAGAATAAGTCCATAGGTGGCATAGTGGCAATAAGCTATGTTGCCGCCCTCGAAGCTGTTGTAGGTGGTGCGGCCGTGCAACACACAGCCGCAGTTGGTGTCCGGGCAGGCGTTAAGCACATAGCGCCAATGTGTCCAGGCTACTGCCGAGGTGATGCAGCAGATCAGTGAAGTCACAATGATGAAGGGATAGAAAAAGGAAAGCGCACGCTCAGCGCTATAGGACATATTTCTGATGGATGGGCGTATTTTTGGATAGGCTGTATAAAATTGTATGTTAATTAATTAATAGCTCTTTCGATTGAGGCACACTTAAGGTAATTTTTTAAATTGTTGATGCATTTGTTTGTCTTTGAGCGAACTGCGCTGACCGCAACGACGTCGGCGTCATTACTCGGCGGTCACCTGCGCAGGTTTTCTTGTACTCTCTCACACTTCCTCTCACGCGCTCTTGGGGCGTCACACACACACACGACTGCATTTACTGCACTGTACCCACTATAAACAAACATTTTGTGTGCCGCTGCAGTCGCTTAAGATCTTATAAATAATAAATTGTTTATTTTTATTTATGAAAAAGTATGTAAGCAAAATGCAAAACTAAAAAACATCAGCAGAACGGCAACTAGCCTTTGGGAGAAGTCTGTCCGCTGACACATACACTTACACAAGCGCACTAAACTGACACACCTACGTCGACAGACACTGTACGTACTGCGTGCGAATAACTGTCTGCGCGCGCAGCAATATAACGACTGAATCGTCTTGTTTTGACTCTGATCGGAACGAGCGCTCTGACTCTGGAAAAAAGAGGAGAGAGAGCGAGAGCTAAGAACAAGAAGAGCGCCAGATAGCGCCAACGGTAGTATGTGTGGCAGCTGCCGCACGCTTTACCAGTGTACATGTGTGTAAAAAACAACTTGGCAGCTCTGTTCGTTACTATTTGAATCGACGAGACTTCCAACAACACCGTGTAATAATATGTACATATGTGCATAATATGAATGAAAGGTGTATGAAAACAACTAAGACGCTTGCTTTTTGGCCAGGCGCCATCACTTAGCACGCCTGCCAAGCATCTGCCGGGTACAACAAATGACGCGCGCAACAAAAGCGACCCGTCCCATGCTGCTTCATCCTGCTACGTACTGGCTGGTCGCCATTACCGGGCCATGTACATTTTGGCAAAAACCATTTTTCGCGGACGCCTGATCTCAGTTGCATGAGCACTGTGGAACTCTCAACTACGCGGAACAAATTTTGGGTGCAAACGGCAAACGAACAAATAAAACCAAATACACAAAGTATTTACCAAAGTATTGACTAACTAGTAGCTTTTGTATTTGGACTATTCTAAAGGCAAAGTGAAAACAAAAGTGCCACTTAACCAATAAAAAGTGCTTATAATTGTGGGCGTTACGAAATTGCATGAAATTGCAAAATTGCAGCCTCAAGAAATTTTCATTGCAGACCAACAATTGCCTATAAATAGCCCAAAAGGTAGAACATATCTTGTCTGGTTTTCCCAGAACACGATCAAATTATACAAAACTTGTGCATAGTTTTCGTAATACATAAGTCAGAACATCATTTTTATTGTACACATCAATGCATTGACAATGATGTCATTGTTGATGCATGTGGCGAGTGCAATAAACTTTTATTTGATTTAAACTATCAGTATAATTTACATATGTCTTAAAGTTACATTTTTAGATTCTACTAAAACGACCAATAACATATTTTAATACGAAATGGGTAAATATGTTTGCTATTTGGAACCCTTTAGATAGCCATAGCAAAATCTTAGCAACCAAAAGCAAACCATCTTATGTAAATAATATAATAATTTGCAAGATGAAAAGAAGCTGTGTGTCTATCGGAAACTGGTATAATTGTCATGTGTTTATGAATGATAACGGCTAGTAAATGATTACTACTTCCGCTGTTAATAGCCTTTTTATATTCAAAGCTATGTTTGAGCGTTCCAAGTTGAAGATAATAGATGTTCTGTACGGGTTACTTTACACCACAATTCAATAGGCATTAAAATATTTTTTAGTAAAAACAATATTTCTTCTCGCAAAAATTATAATATCTCTAAATATAAAACTGTTTGTCCTGACTGACTGACTGACTGATTGGTGATCAACGCACAGCCCAAACCGTAAGAGCTAGGAAGCTGAAATTTTCACTGTAGCTACCTTATGTGATGTAGGTGCACGTTAAGACGGGGTTTCGGGAAATTCAACCCGCAAGTGTGGAAAAATCGGGAAAAACGTTTGTATGTAACTTTTTTGTTTACCATCCGATCGGCCTCAAACTTATTTTCAAAGATCTTTGTTCAAATTCATTTGAGGGGTGTTTCACACTTTTCGAAAAATCCGTTCGTCCTTGGTGGAAATGGAGGTCAAAGATTTGGTGGGTGACGTTTCGCGCTCAAATTCATTTCCAGAGATCTATAAGAAAAATCATTTTAGACGTGTTTCACACTTTTCGCACAATTCAAACTTCTTCGGGTTAATGCGATTTAAAGATTATTTGGGCGAAGTTTTAAGTTGTGTTCGATTTGCTTCAAACTTATTTTCAAAGCTCTACATAAGAAATTAATAAATACGTATTTCTGCGATTTGGGAAATTCCATCCGAAACAATGGTAAATTGGTGGAAGACGATTGTATGAAAGTTATTTGTTTACCATCCGATCAGTTTCAAAATAATTTTCAAAGCTTTTTGAGAAATTTATTTTATACGAGCCATGGGCAAAGCCGGGTTATACCCGCTAGTAGTAATATATAATAGTAGAATTCATTTCCTTTTCTTAATACCTACTGATTATTAAATAAAGACTAGAATTATTTAGCAGACTATATTCATCCTATTAATCTATATACATATATAAAACTGCCTGACTGACAGACTGATCGATTGGTGATAAACATTTAGCTCAATTTGTAAAAACTAGTAAGCTGAAAATTGTTCGGCTTATTTGATGTAAGTGCCCACTTAGACGGGATTTTGGCAGAGTACACTTGAGAACTGAGGAAAATTGGTAGGAAACGGTTATATGAATATTTTTTCTTTACTATTCGATCGGCTTTGAACTCATTTTCAAGGATCTTTGTGAAAATGCATTTGAGAAGTGTTTCGTGCAGTACCCGATGGTCCAATAAATTATTAATATTTGTTAAATTTAACGTAAGGCATGTAGTATTCCTCATACCCAAGCTTTCAAAATAAGTAAGTCGTTATGAAAAATTTGATAACCAACATAATTGATGAATGAATCCCTTGGCTACTTATAGAAACAGTAAATACACCGACACAAACCGGAGCCTCTCTATGCATATTACATACTATACAGACAATAGATCTTAGAGTGCAAGTCCCGCAACAAACATCCAGAAAATCGCACACAAGTAATTTAAATATTTGAAAAGCATTATGGATAATTGGAACGTTTTGGCAGCGCAAACCTCATCCCAGGCCATTGGACGAGATGATCTCAATGCGGTGGTCAAGACGCGTCTGGTGAGTACTGCCGAGAAAACCCACTCCCAAATAACATGCAGTAAGCAAAACAAAAATGAAAATGATTGCGTAGAATGCGATGCATATAGCTTGTATACATTATACGATATATTCAGGTTGTACACATGTTGTGAGTGTGTAGACCCAGGTATATATATACTGCCCAACCCAACAGCTGTTTAGCAGACCCAGAGTTTTTCGCTCTTCTGACCACCGAAAAGCAACGACATGCTCTAGAAATTCTTGGCATTTTGTTGTTTTGGCTGCTCTAAACATTACTAGCGCTCATCTATAAATAGGATCTCCTCGGTGGCTTTTCTCTTTAGCTATCTGCCTGCCTGCCTGCGAGTGTGTCAAATGTTAGTGGGCTTTTTGGAGATTCCTCACAGTAGCGCAAAGTAGCCACAGCTAATTCAGACAGACGTTGAAGGTGCTCGGCAACGCGCGTATCTCTCGCACTGATATTTCATTTATATAAGCAAAGCATATAATATACTATCGATACTATACAGAACAATGGATATTTCTACCGATATTTGGGGTCAGCTGGCCGTAGAGGCTTCGCAGGTGTACCTATCCGATGGCACCATGCGTAGTCCCTTCGCCGACACGGTATTTACTTCATGCAAGAATCCTCAGGCTGACTGATGTGTATTGATCAGTATCAGTTTAATGAATATATATGTATAAATATAAATAAATATATATATAAATGATCATCTCTCTTGCAGACGATTGAGAAGCTGCCCGACAAGGTGCTGTTGCACATATTTTCATATCTGTCGCATCGGGAGATTTGTCGCCTGGCCCGCATCTGTCGTCGCTGGCGTAAGATCGCCTACGACACGCGCTTGTGGAAGAATGTATCGCTGCGACCGGAGGTTTCTGGCCTGCACGTCGGCTCTCTGGAGATGCTGCTCTCTTTAATTTCGGTAAGATTTGGACCGACGCTGCGCTACATCGAGCTGCCCATTGAGCTTATCACGCACACGGTGCTGCACGAGCTGTCGGCTAAGTGTCCAAATCTAACCCACATGCTGCTGGACTTCTCTACAGGTAAATGATTAGACTCGCCTGCCAAAAAGGTAGCTAATATATTCTCTTCTTTGCCCCCTAAGCCATGCAATTGCATGACTTCAGCGAGATGCAGGCGTTTCCCACCAAACTGCGCTACATGTGCATTTGCTTGTCTGAGGTGATCTTCATGGAGGGCTTCATGCGCAAAATCTATAATTTTATCAATGGTCTAGAGGTGCTACACTTGGTTGGCACCTATGAGAAGTGCGAGGAGGAGGAGGAGGAAATTTACGAAGTCATTAATGTGCACAGACTTAAATCGGCCACGCCCAATTTGCGCGTCATCAATTTGTATGGCATTAATTTTATAGACGACTCGCACATTGATGCCTTCAGCTCCAACTGCATACAGTTAGAGTGCCTGGCTGTTAACTTTTGCAATAAGGTCACCGGCTCCACGCTGAAGACGTTGGTACAGCGCTCGAAGCGATTGACCTGCCTGCTCATGAATGGCACGAGCTTAAAATCAGAGTTTGTAATGCAGGTGGAATGGGATAAGTGCGCGCTACAGGAGCTGGACATTACGGCTACCGATTTGACCAGCGAATGCCTGGTAGACATGTTAACGCGTATACCCAATCTTAAGTTTCTATCTGCCGGCCAAATCAATGGATTCAATGATACCGTGTTGAAGCAATGGATGGAACAGGGCAACACCAGGTCCACATCTAATAGAACAAGATATTTAATTGCTTATCTTTATGACTCCCATATACTCTTGTAGATCCCTCAACTCCTTGGACTTGGACTCCTCGGATAACATAACAGACGAAGGCATGCTAAAGTTTCTGCAGCGCCATGGCCATCAGCTGAGCGCGTGCTGCCTATCTGGCATGCCACACATTACAGATCAGCTCTGGATGAGCATACTGCCCATGTTGGGTAACTGCAAGTAAGTAGAGCGAAGCAGAGGCGGTGCATATGATCATTAAATTAAATAATTGGCTGCCGTACAGAATAATAGTTATGGGCACGGCTGAGAAACTGGGCGTCAATATACACGTCGATCAGCTGATGGACACCATTGCATCCAACTGTGGAAATTTGGAGCGTCTGGAGCTGCGTTGGGACCCGGACAACTTGCGTTTCTCCGACAAGAGCCAAAAGGCTATTGATATATTGCGCGTTAAGTGCCTAAAGCTGCGCTGCATGGTTTTAAGGTAGGCTTTAAATTTCTGCCGTATATGTTTTCAAGAATCTTGCTTTCGAATGCCTTTACAGCGATGGTCGTTATTATGAAACCGTGAAGGCCAACTTTGAACGCGCCGACCGTATCACGGTGGTGCGCACCACCACCTGCTGTCGTGTCTCGCCATATCATTTGTTGCGCAATTATAACGACTTGGTGTTTAACTAAATAGCGAGTGGCATTAAAATAAATGTTTTATGTTAAACTGTTGTTGTATCCTTATATTCCATACCGAACTGGAGCGAGCAAATGTCCCAAAAAAGAATGAAGCGCAAATGTTCATAACGCACATTTAAAACAAAATTTGTTTGGTTTAAGGCAATCTGTATTTTAGTTAGCATGCTGCAATACAAAATACTTGACATGTTACATATGCATCTGTTCTATATACAAATTTGATACAAATCGCTGACTTTTATACATAAGCTGCCTTAGAAGTTTTCATTCAATAAGCCACTTTATAAATTGCGTTGATTTCTCAAAAAAAAAAAAAAGTAAACAAAATTTAAGATGTTTAGATAAACTATGAATCCAGTGGCTAGATTCGTAGGCAAGCCCAAAACTTTTTCAAATATTGTTGTCTAGTCAAAATCCGACGCAATTGCTTATTGCTTCCATATTGTACTGTATTTTCTTATCATTTTTTTCTTCCTTTAATTAAATTATATATATTAATAAGTAAGAGTGTAAGATTTGCTAATTTTAATTTCTTGTAAATTACAAAATCATCTTGCGAATTGTTAACTAGTTTTGTTTCTTTTTTTACTTGGTACTTGATTAAATCATTTTCAGACTTCACCGCATTTATTTTTCTGCTTATGGTTTTTTTGTTGTTGTTTTGTAACACCATTTCACTGTAATCTTAAAACTAACCTTTTTTAACATTTTTGGGTCAACTTTTTACCATAAGCTTAATTTACAAAGATCTCTGATTTAATTCACGTTTCGATCAGCGCCCTCACATATATAGGTAGGTATGTACTTATATGCATGATATAATTTAATTTAGTGTGGTATCGAAGCCAAACAACTCAACGCGCTTTTGGATGTCTGCGTGTATATGAATACGTATGAATGTGAGTTGGTGAGTGCGTGCATATATGAATCAGGTATTGGTGTTTATAGGAATGGGTCTCCCGAAACGTTCAAATAGGCAGATAATAATTTTGCTTAGGAGTTTCGCATTTTTACATAAGTACACTAACACATAGAACAGTTTACATCTGGTTTGTTTAAGATTAAATATAACGGTACAATTCATTGCTGTTCCTGTGACAACCGAAATATGTGCGTCGTATTGCTGGCCGCAGCGGTAGCAACAGCAGCCGCCGAATTTGCCGTCGATGGCGGCGGTTGAGCCGACGCTGTGATATAGCTGGCATTGCTGTTGCTGCTGCTACTGCTTGCACTGCTGGCTACGGCGGCTCTCGTCTCTGCTGCAGCCGCCTCGCTCGCCAAATTGGCTATAGCATTATCAATATTTGCCAAGGCAGCGGCAGCATTGGTCGGTGCTACGCCCTCTTCTGGAGCAGCTTCTGCACCGCGTTCGGGTGAGCGGCGCGGCACTCCAGCATTGTTTGCGTCCTGTGAGAAAGTCGAAAGATTAGAAATTTAAATATTCATTGGGAATAATATTAATTAAAGTTTGATTTCCATGCTAATTGAAATTTACAAAAACATATGCTTAATAAAAACATCAAAATAACGAATAATTAGTGAGTTGTCTGTCAAAATGTAATTTAAATATGATTTCTGAGGTCTATAAAAACAGTATAATTCACATCCCTTCTAAGCTGCATATAAACACAATTCTAAATAATTATAAAACATTGAAAATATATGGAATAACAAGTAAGAAGCTCTAGTCGGGAGATCCTGACTAGGGGATACCCTGAAATCTCTTAGTAGTTATAAAAATAAGGTTCGAAGGTTCGAACTCGCAACTAACCGAATTACTTGCCGCCGCTTTTACTCAACAGCCACACCAATAATTGAGTCTTAATGAGAAAAAAACGGATTGAAATTGCAGCAAAGAAAACAATACAATCGCAAACTCGTGGCCAGCCAAACCACGTTTTCTTTAATAACTTCTGCGTTTTTTTAGCCGATATTGATGAAATATTCAACAGTAGATCTTATTGTGCTGATAAATTGTTCATCCTCAAAAATTCAATTGCATTTTAATTGTGGCTTATATTTGTGGGCAATATAAATTGTTTTATTTATTTGATTTATATCTATGAGGTAGTAGCGGAGAGGTGGTGATAGCTACAAAATGAAAGATACTTGATATATATATACTATTCTTTTATTATTTAGCAAATTTGCTCAAAAAACAGGATTTCGATATCAATTTTTAACGATTACTTGGAAACGATGCAAGATATCGAATATCGGAAACAAACTCGTTCTGCACGGGCACTAGGAGGACCTACATATTTCAAGTCTCTAGCTTTTATAGGGTCAGAGATACTTGCGTTCATACATACGGACAGACGGGCGGACAGACAGACGGACATGGCTAGATCGACCCGGCTATTGATGCTGATCAAGAATATATACATATATGTACTTTATGGGGTCGGAGATGCCTCCTTCTGCCTGTTACATACATTTGTACAAATACATTATACCCTTTTTGCCCGTTTTCAATGGGTTCAGGGGTTTAAAAAAGTCTTCTTTCCTACGCTGCCAAACTAAGAAATTCCTACTTACTTCTCTTGGATATATACGAATAGGCTGTTCAGCTTGAGCCGGAGCCGCTGGATCGGCATCTTGTGCATTCTCCTCAGCCTTGTCAGTGTACATCATTATCTCATGACACAGCGGACAGCGGTCCTGTACGTAGAGCCACTTGCGCAGGCAAACTCCATGGAAGAAGTGACGGCATCGCGTTATCTTAGCTGAGTACATTTCCTGAAAATAAGAAAATGCGTACGAAAGCTTATTACATATTAAAAAAAAAAGATTATCAAAACTGATGAGCTCACCTGATAACAGATGGCGCATACATCATCAAAGGCCTGCAGCTGAGCAGGAGTCGCTTCCGGCAATGCTGATATCTTGTGGACCGCAGAGCGCCTCTTCATGAACACAGACCAGCCAGCGCGTGCCTCGCACCAGATATTGAAGTAGGCATGAATGCACATCATGATCGCCCTGATGGCGCCGCCTGTAGCATTTTGGGCTATCAAGTTATAGTCATCGATACACAAAATCAACCAAATAATAAAATTACATGCACACGGAACAAAAAAGCTGGACAGGAGTACGCACAACTCACAAGATGAACTTATATAATGATTCGAGATTTACGCAAATATAAATTTGAATGCTTTATGTCACTGATGTGTTGATGTAATTTGACGACGAGGCCAACACTAAAGAACACTTACCCGATTCAAAGACCAAGATCCAGGCACCATTAACAAAGAGCAAGATTCCAAAACAGAACTCCACGGCATTGCCGAAGGCACGTACATAGTATAGATAATCATCTAGCTTTTCCCAGAAGAACTGGCGTCGGGCATCTAGCAAAAAGAGCGTATATGTGGCCAGCGAAACGAGCACCTGTCATACAGAGCACATTAGTTTAAAGAATATGTCGGTTGAATGTAACACATTGATAATGAACAACCTTGATAATGACCTCCACGGAGAAGGCAGTCACCGCCAGCAGCCAAGTAGAGGGCGAATGCTGCGCCCACAAATAGTAAAGCAGCCCGACTGGCATTAATATGAGAAAGGCGCAAACGGATAAAGCGCGCACATGACGCTTACGTGAAGGATTCCGCGCCGCACTCAACGACATCAATATGGGTGAAACAATGTTGTGAAGGAAGTGCAGTAGCGCCGTGACCAGAAGGCATAGATTGCGACATAAGCGCACAAAACGCCTATCCGGCGCCAATGATGTGAGGCCAGTTTGTAGTGCTAATATGTAAAAGAGCACTGCCGAAACTGTGCCCAGCGACTTCTCTTCGTCATTGTCATAGGTCAGCAGATACCACTGAAAGCCGCGTCCAATATAGTGGCATATCATCGAGATGACACCAGTCATGCCCAGCACAGCGGTCAAAGTTTCGCATCCATCAACGAGCAGCTTCTCGATTGCTGGAAACAGCTGCAAAGGCACATCCGATTCGACAGTCAGCAAGGCATAGCCGCCCTGCATAATTCTGTGGATGAGATATTAATGAGAATAATCATTAATAATAAACAAGTAAGAGGTTCTAGTCGGGAGCTCCCGACTAGGGGATACCATGAACTCTCTTATTCCAACCCCAAATGCAGCTCGCACTACGCGCTCGTTTGCTTTAGTAATAATAAAGATAAATTTAAAAAAAAATAAAAAGTTTCCTTGGCAGGGTTCGAACTCGCAACTGACCGCATTACTTGCTGCCGCTTCTACTCAACAGCCACACCAGCGAAAAAAAAAAGTCTCCTCGATAGGGTTCGAGCTCCCAACTGACCGCACTACTTACCGCCGCCTCTACTCAACAGCCAATCCGATAATTGACTTTTGATGAGAAAAAAAAACGAATTTAAATAGCAGCACAGAAAATAATACAATCGCAATTGAAATGAATTCAAAGAAGAATTTGCGCTTTTTGCCGCTGATAGGAGAAAAGTCAAAACACGTTTTTTTTAATCATTTCAGTGTTTCTTAACCGATCCTGATGAAATTTTCTACAGTACATCTTATTGTACTATAGAATATTCGTGTATTATCACAAAGTCAATTGCATTTAAATTGTGGCTTATACTTGTGGGAGGCATAAATTGGTGTTTTTATTTGATTTATAGCTATGAGGTAGTAGCGGGGAGGTGGTGGTAGCTATAAAATGAAAGATACTTGATATATATATACTATTCTAGAAGCTACATGTCAAGTTTAGTGACTCTAGCTTTATTATATTCTGAGATCCTTGCGTTCATACATACATACGGACGGACGGACAGACGGACAGACAGACGGACATGGCTAGATCGACTCGGCTACTGATGCTGATAAAGAATATATATACTTTATGGGGTCGGAGGAGATGCTTCCTTCTGCCTGTTACATACATTTGCACAAAAACATTATACCCCTTTTACCCATTTTCATTGGGTTCAGGGTATATAAACAAAAAATGTAACAATTGAGTTATATTTTAAGAAATCAGCTGATGAAATTGTTTGTTTTATTATTATTGTTGATACCCTAAAAAACAAAATGTGACTGACTCTTCATAAAGTACATATGTACTCGATCAGCGGTTTATCAGTCTTGTTCTTGTGCAAACGCTTTCTCGGGAATACAAACAGTACATCCTGAACAAAATCTCACGAACATTGCAAAACTATATCTTATGTATAGCATCAGAATTTATACTTGAACGCAGTTTCGTGCTTTTGAAAATATTTTCATCAAATTACATGTTTTAATAAGCTTTTTACATTTTGAAAAAAAAAAGTCTCAACATTCATCTACTGTATCTTATATGGTGATTACCCCGCGGCAAACTTTTGCTTCAAATTTTAGATAACTT